ACTACAATCACAGTTACTAAAAAGAACATTCAGCAATTATGGGGTTATAAATCTTAAGCACCTCCATAGATAAGATTTAGATTTACTTCAACTCTCCAAGTTTTGGGGTTCACCACTGCTGTAGCCTGGTATTGAAGTCACAACTCTTTGAATCTAGTCACTGGATTTAAGCAACAGCTTTATCCACTGGGCCATGTGTTCCCAAGGAAAAATTCATAACTATTCAACATTAAAATTGAACAATAATATAATCCCAGTAGTAGAACAATACAAGTACCTAGGCATCATATTTGATAAAAAAAAAAAAAAACTAACATTTATAGCCCATATAAAATACTTACAGTCCAAATGCCAGAAAAATACTACTTAGAATTATTGCTCCCCAGATTTGGTGAGCAAGCAAAGAGTCATTACTCAAAATATGCCACTCATTAATTAGATAAATTCAATTATTGTTGCTACAGTGAAGCAAAAATAAGCTACATAAAAGAACTCAACACAGTTCATCATCAAGGATTAAGAATAGTCCTAGAAGCTTTCTCCTTATCCCTGGTGGAAATACATAGAAGCATGTGAATGTCCATTAGCAATACAACAGAAAAAAACTGGCTCTTCAATATTATATTAAACTCTGAAACTGCCCATCAAATCCTACATATAAATGTACATTTCATCCACAATATACTGAGCTCTTTAACAGAAAAGACAATGCCATTAAACCATTTGGTATCCTTATGACAAATGTCATTGAGAATACTCAAATAAATACAGCAAAAATCCATGAGTCTATCAACTCTAAAACATCCTCTCTGGATGATGAAACAATCAAATGTTGTATTAAAATTCAGTTAGTTAAAAAAATTCAAAACCGATCCTACCACATTCCATGAAGAATTACTCTCCATCAAAGATGATTACACAGATCACCTGTTCATCTATATGAATGGATCTAAAGATGATGATAAAGTTGGATGTGCAGTCATGTCAACCACAAAGTAAAATTAATGAAACCACTTCCAGACAAAGCTTTGATATTTAGTGCCGAGGTGACAGGTATTGACTTGTCCCTCAACAGCATAAAAAAATTTAACACTGATTCTACGTCAATGATCACAGCACTGAAAAAATGTCAAACCCACTCATCATTGAATTACTCAATAGGATCAGCAGCTTACATAGAGATATTGTCTTCTGCTAAATACCAAGCCATATTGGTATCACAGGGAATGATAGAGCAGATTCCACAGCAAGAAAAGCATCTACCATAAAAAAACAAAACACATCAGACCCCTTAAATACCAAAATCCCATATACATATATTTTTCAGCATGCACATGTTACTACCGAATATGACACAAGGTCAAGGTTTAGAATGGGTTTGACTACAATACTGTGAAAAAATTGCCAGCACTTCCCCTTTAGGAGACACTTCTGGTGCCAGGCAATAAAGCCAGACCCCTCCCAAAGAAGAGGTACTGCCTGAGGGGAAGGCCTCCTGGAACCTGAGCCCCAAATTGAAGGAACACCTCAGTCACCGGGCAATAAAGTCAGTCCCCTTCAAAGGCAGAGGTAAATGTTTTTGATCTCTGCATGCTGTCTCAACCATTGACCTGACAAAATTACCAGTCAAAAATGTATCCATACAGGTTACATCCCAAATCAATAACTTCCTTTGCCTTTAAAAGGGAAAATGGTAATCCCATCCAGCCACTTTTCATCACCGCAGTCAAGGCTTACAGGTTCAATTTGGGAAAGGAACCCAGCTTTATCCAGACCTCTTCTCATGATGCCGTTTATTGCTACATGTCTTGGAAAGTGGCTGGTACTATGACAACAGGAGAGAGGATGCAGACCAAACTCATCAATGGAAGCTCCACATCTGCATCTTTGACGCTCACATAATTTGAGCCCAAGGCAGATCACGACTCTGACCTAAGTGCAGTCATCATCCAGAAGAGTAGCGGTAGATTAAGAGGGCACTGCATTGAAGCTGATAGTAGACAGGTGAGGTAGTGCTGATCCGAAGAGAGCCTAAAATTAGTAAAATTGGCCTCACATTTTATTTTATCCCAGCTTTTCTGTTTTCATGTGTCTTGTGGGATAGAAAGTAATTCTTGGGCCAAGATGCTTGTTTGAAAGAGGTACCCAAACAACACTGAGATGGTCCACATCAATCAATTCACAACTGGAAGAAAGTGAAGAAAGATATGTTGGAAGGGCCAAGTCTGCTTCTGATCGAAGGCCCCGGCCTCCAAAACTCAAAGGGAGCTTTGCCTGCCTCCAGCCTGTATTGTCAAAATTTATGTTGCAAATTAACTCCACACATCTCTTAATTGTGATATATATATCGTTTAAGAAATCCCGAACAAGGTAGCAAGGGGCACTTTGGAGAGTGTAGAGGAACCTCAGTAGAGAAAAACTGTTTTTGAAAAGGAAGAGGGTTGGGTGTGCATCAATTAATTGTAATCACTCAATCCTTCTTGTTAGAATGACATGCTTAGTATTCAAACACTCTTGAATGGCTATTGGAAAGACTAGAAAACCAAGAATGTGTAATTCCTCAGGAGTTCTTTTTATATCTTCAAGGATGAGTCTAATATCCCAGATAGCACCCTTGAAATCACCTGTACTATAATTTGAATTTATTATCTCTGATTTGGACGAGTTAATCTCAAGTCCAAGCAGAAATAAAACAGGAATAACTCATCTAAGATTGTCAGCTATGGCCTCAACCAGTCTTGCTGGATTCTGGTAGAAGAGATAATATTATTGGAGGTGATCAACATATTTGGATGACTATACAAAAAATGAGCCAGTTAAAATATGGTAGGTGTCCATTGATGGCAAACTTCCAGGGTATGATCCCTTCTGATGCTATTGAAAGCATATTTCCTAACCAGTTTTAAAAAGATACATGGGGAAACAAGTGATGTTGCCCTATCTCCTTCACAACAACTCTACATGCAATTTTTGCTGCAAGTCAACAAAAAATGTTACAGTAGTAGGGCAGATACCTCCATCTTTAAGTTGGCTGAAAATATCAAGTTGTGAGCATGTTGGGTTATTTCAGTTCAGAGAAGGGTATTAATAAAAGCTGTTATGGATCTTTTCAAATGTTCACCAACTTTGGCAGTGTGGGCAGAAATTAAGTCCTTGATGTGACCAGGTCATAGGCCATCCACATCACTACTGCTGCTTCTCAAGAAAGACTTCAGAGTCAACAATCACTTCCTTCAAGATTACAATATTGGAATCATTGTTTTCCATTTGAACAATTCTGACATCTGATGGTGGTGCAGGATGTTTCCAACAGAAAAAATATAATTAAAAAAAAATTAACCATAACTAACAACAATCTTACTATTTAAAAGAAAATGTTCTGATTGTTTAAATACAAAGCTTTATTTAGAAAATTATTAAATTTCTGCATTAAATGACCCAATGTGTTGATATGCTCTAAAACAACCAACCAAATTTACTTCATCATTGTTGATTGTCAAGGAAAGATTCCCTGCTCTACCAAAAATCTTTCAGGTTATATTGACATCATTTAGAATGTCAAAACTGACATTTAATGGGAAAGGTTTTAATTTGTTCAAAAATATCGTATGGGAGAAATATACAGTATTTAATATATAAATTCTGTATATCAGACTAATGGTGGGTAAATGAATGACAAAATGGACAAAAAATGTCAGTGTAATGCATTTCATCCTTCAAAAAGTCTTCATCTGTCTAAATTAATGTTCTTTATTGATGGAATAAGAGGAATGAGATGAATGCTAAAGATGTAGAGATGCTGAATTTAGAATGACTCTCAATGTATAATTATAACCAATATTTTTATTTACACTATTTACATTGTTCAGACTGTTGTTATCTTTGTTGCCATATTCACGATGCTTGGAATTTCAAACTGGACCCTTTATTTCGTCCACTGAAGTAAATTGTTCTAGTTCCTCATCCTGGTGTCTCAGTTATCTCCCTTTCAACTAAACACTCCAAGATTTTGGTTCACCACTGCAGGTATTGAACTGACAACTCTTTGAGTCAAGTCACTGGATCCAACTAACACTTTTATCCACTGGGCCATGTGTCCTTGAGGCATACAATGGGCAAAACATTGTGAATATGGCAACAAAGATAAGGACAACACTCTGAACAATTAGTGTAAATAATTACAATACCTCATTTCAGAAATATAGGCAGACCAATATTTTTGTTTAAATTTTTTCCCACTTCCTTCTTCTTAACAGCAGTAAAGAGGCTCTACTCAAAGTTTGCCAATCGATCATACACACCTGTCAAGTTCATAGATGGTTTGTTAAAAAGATTTTACAAACATGACAGGATGCTATGAAGCCATCCTGCCAGTCTTCAATAAAATAACTGGTATCTTGGCTACCAATACTTCATAAAGGCATACCCAAGCAGTGTAGCAATAGTAAAATTGAGCAAAAGTATTCTAATATGTCTGCTGGAAAAAAACTGGCTGCATATTTCATATTTTTGTTGCCTGAAAAAAAAAGTACAGAAAACAATATTTAAGTTACATGATTTGAGTTGTATTTCAATGATTAATAAAAAGATTTTTTAAAATTTGGTACTTATATTTTTTATGTTTAAAATTTCAGGCACATTAACACTTCTGCACATTTTAGCTAATAGATCCCACAAGGAATCTACTAGTTAAATCCAGACATTTAGATTTTCTATTAAGATTTTTTGAAGATTGCTATATTTCAATCATATGAAAAATAATATTAAATTGTTTATTGCATAAACATTGATTGAATTTATCTCAAAACCAATTTTTATTTAAACTGGTAATAGAGAATTTTAAGGGAGACAAAATTACCAGAATGATATTCCATTTAAACTACATTTTATTTATTTTATAATGTATTGTTTCAATTTAGCCTTTCGGTGTATTTGTTATTTATGATTCTGCTTTATTGACAGTGCTTATATTTTTCAGATAATTTTTTTTATTTTTTCAGGAAGTAATCTATCACACTGGCCTTGTAATCCTAAGCTCACCTTGATTGCTCATATCCCTGAGAGAAATGAGATCTGTTCATTTGGAAGTGGATATGGGGGCAATTCCTTATTGGGCAAAAAGTGCTTTGCTTTACGATTAGGTTCTATTATGGCCAAACGTGAAGGATGGTTGGCTGAACATATGTTGGTAAGTTCATCCCCCTTTATGGAAAATTATAGATTCTTATTAATATCACAGAGTTAAAAAAAAATTTTTCATTGCCTTGATATATTGGCTCCAATGTGGCCTGAATTAATTATTGTTTAATAAATATAACCAAACTTTCATTAAAACAAATGGAAATACTACTATGATTAGTATAGAAATCTTGAAGGTCACTGAGTTTCAAGCTCTATAAATGTGCCAAACTTGGTCTCATCATAAAAATGAAGAGACATTCACAGTAACATGCTCACTGATTGAATGCTTTATTTAACAAAACTATAATCATTTTTAGGGAATATTTTTAAAAATATGACTCTAAAATTATCACAATAACAAATCCCATAATCCATTAGGTTTATTAGCACACTGCATGTACTGCAACCATAGCAACAGTGGATGTGTGTCGGTGTCCACCTCTGTTCGAGCTGGTTTTGAATTCAGAATTGTCCTCCTCTTAGAATTGTTCTCTTATCAAGGATAAAGTGTCTGGCTGGAGGAACTTGGATTCATGCCTTTTAAAATAAAATTATACAATGTGGTATTCGATGAAAGCACATAATCAGAACCTTGATTATGTGATTAAAGACTGACAATTATTTTTCTATTTTCTTTGTAAAAGCAATTACTGTGTCATGAAAGTAACGTGACAGTGAGCTGTCGGCCCATGGTCAACTCTCAGTTGCAGCACGAAACTGTAATGTTTCTTCCACCAGCATTTTGGGGTTGACTCTTAGTTGTTGCCACCAGCCTGTGTCTGGATTGATTGGTGGTAATCGTTACCTGGTGAAATCCCTTGGTCAAGGTACCAATATGTGACACTGGCCAGTCCTGGGTCAAATCTGAAGTAACTGCTTCAATCTCAAGTATAACCTACCCACGTTGTGATTTTGATCTTAGGCAGACAAGATCAATCAGGCATTGGGCTGTACTGTAAGATGAGTCTAGACTGGAGGTGATATCACACAAGTGTAAAGAAAAAAAAAAAAAGAAGCAAATAAAAACCGAAGTATGTTAAAAAATAACAAATCAACTTTATCCGTCTGTCATATACAGGAGTATGTTTTTCTCCCAGCCTGTTTTCTACAGAGTGTAACACTTCTATGCATCTTAAGCAAATTTTGGTATCTTAAGTTAACTGGTTTAGTTTTTAGGTGCTGGCTTGGCTTCGTTCATCAGTATAACTTGCTATTGGTAGGATAGGCGAAGTTGGAAGTTGTGGAATCTCTCAATCAGCTTCTGCGAGGCAACATTCTACTCAAGTTCTGACTCCCAAACTAACTCTACTCACTCTCAACTCTGACTGAACTGTCACTGTCGAACGGTCCAAGAAATCTCTTTGTTGTCAGGACAGGAAAATTGATTACATCTCATTTTTAGAAAATTAATCACTTTCTATTTTGGGGGGGATCTCCTCGTCCATGAGGAGAGGTCGGAGGAGAGCTATCCTCCTGAACTCTTCCTCTCTCACATTGATACCTCATATCAATCCCTTCAGTGGGCGTTAATAATTTCCCTGTCCTTCTCATCCAATTACCTCCACCTATCACCATTGCTACCACTCAACCAATAGCATCCAGGCCGTGCAGGTGTGGCTAAGCTGGCCTCCTTAAAATTATAACCCAGAATTTTTGTTTACAAAATTCTTTTTTTCCCATTGGCCAAAATTTTTACTAATCCTACATTGCCACTTAAAATCTCTCAGATCTTTTGGTTACTCTGCGTCTTCTTAACCAGCACCCTTTACAAATTCCATCAATTACTGTCAAAGTCTGCCATCTGGTCCCTTCATGAAGTTAGCTTTTACTGGAACTCTTGATTTCTTGAGAAATTAAACTCCTTATCTCCTAAATCATGATTCTTCCATGATATCTTTTCCCATTCCCCCAATTTTATACTCACCATATTGCTACTCAATGCGTCTGCACCTGAAGACAACACTTTAGAATAGTAAATAATAACAATTCTTTCCTACTCATATCGGAATAAAATATTTCTCATGCCAAAATTCCCACAAATACCATATGGCTTAAAAATGATATCTTGGGAAGACAGTTAATATACCCGGTATCGGCCAAAATTTTTATGACTGCCATATGGTCTGCCCGTTATCTCAACGCTTTGCTTTTTTCTGAATCTTGTGTTTCTCTTGACAAACACCCTTTACAAATTCCATCAATCACTGTCAAAGTCTGCCATCTAGTCCCTTCATGAAGTTAGCTTTTACTGGAACCCTTGGCTTCATGAAAAATGAAATTCCTTATCTCCCAAATCACAATTCTTCCATGATATCTTTTCTCGTGCCCAAAATCACCATATTGCTACTCAACATGTTGGCACCTGAAGATGACACTTTGGAAAAGTAAATAATAACAATTCTCTCCAACTCGTATCGGAATAAAATATTTCTCATGCCAAAATTACCACAAATACCATATGGCTTTGCCTTGCCAACACTCAAAAAAAATATCTTGGGAAGACAGTTAATATTGATTCTCTCTACCCCGTATTGGCCGAAATTTTTATGCCCGCCATATGGTCTGCCCGATATCTCAATCTCTCGGCAAGCATTCTTTTTTTTACAAACAACATTAATCAATTTGTCAAAATCTCATATATGGCTTTTCTATGCATCTACTGTCTACGCCAATTTATGGGTCTTTGTGAAAAGTAACTTTTTTTGGAAATAAAATAAAATTTTTTAATATCGAACAGTATATCTTTCAGGATACCTTCTTTCCATTCTCAGTATTTCTTGTTTTTAATTTCTATGGTTAATTAGTTAGCTAAATATTGTCACAATCCTCCCTTACCTACCCTGTCATTTACTCATAAATGGCACCTAAATCCCAGTACACTATTTAGCATGCATCATGCATCTGTTTCATGCAATTCCATTTTCCTTTTCACAGTATGTTTCATGATCAGTCTTTCTTTTTCTTTTGTTCTGCATGCAATGTAATGTTCTTTTCATTTTCAGTTTCATGCAATTTAAAGTGTGCGTGTGCTTGTGGGTGTATGGGTGTGGCTATTATGGCTTGTTTTTCTTGGCCAATGTTTTTCTCTCTGTTACAGGATGTTTTTCTTCTGTATGTGTCAGTTCCACTTTAGCTTCTTCTGTCGGCTTTCCTGCAATTTCCTCCTTGATTCTGTCTGGGTAAAGAACACTGCTTTATACTTGAGTTGCTGCATACTCATTTGATTACCACGAATTAATTCTCTCCTACTTCTAAATTTCCATACTGCCATTCCCCCTATGGTGATAACTATTAATGTACCCTTCATTGCTGACCAATTTATCGCAATCTGTTCATCATCCTCCCAAGCCATGCCTTCCTTTCCCAACACACTTAATTTGTCCCTCAACTGATCTATATCGATTTTATTTTTCGGCTTCATTAGCCCTGGCATTTTATTCAAGGTAACATTGGGGAAACCCCTCATTATTGGCTCCCACAACTCTGTTCAATTGACTAAGCTTCTGTCAATCAATTCTATAATTGAATCTTTCTCTTCATATTTTTCTTCTACCTGGTAATATAGGGGTAAAGAAATAGATATCCCAAATGCCGAACATCCCAGTGTTACTTTCAACAGGGATAATGGTGGTTTCACTTTTAGTGTCCTTGTGGACTCTCCTCCACATACCCTAGACAAGCTGATTGGTTTCTGTGTGGCCACTGCCCACACCCCATTTGAAACACTGATAACTTGTGGTAATGCTGTGTTTGCTAATACCTCTACTTGACAAGTTCTCTTAATTCCCTCTTTCTTCCCTTCAAACAATTCTAGCATGCACATTTTGTGATTACCAGCTACATAGATGAGGCTCAATTATGTACAAGTTCCTAAAGCATTATTTCTACACTTTCTAGCTTCTTCTGCTGTTAGCAGCATGAACTTTGTTTTACTTGAATTTAAAGCTATGTATTCCATTTCCACCTTTTATCTTGCTACCATTCCCAAACCTTGATCTCCTCTGCGGTAAAGAATAGGTAAATTTATAACTTGGTATATCTCGAATATACCCTCTCTATCCACCAACAGAATAGACATCAAAACTAATAGTTTTCTATTTTCCAACAAGGTCACACATCCCAGCGCACTATAATATTTCCACAATTCTTTGGTGGGATCCACTGGCAACCTTAAATGATGGGGTAATTTGGTTTGTATTCCGAGTAGCAATTCCCTTAAGTGACGTGGGGTTACTATGCTTGGGGAGAGGTGTCCCAATGACAACATGTCTAATTGCGCTCTCACATGTTCCAGCAAGGTTGTCAATGACTGACTAGTTTGTTGCACCTTATTCGTAATTGTCATTAGTTAGAAATATCTTTGCATATATCCACTTATTTCCTGTAATTCCATCATTACAGTTTCTGTATCATTAATGACTTCTTGTCTCAACCCTGCCAGGTTATTTATTAACCAATTAATTCTGGCTCTATTCTTGGCCACTTCCAACCTTGTCACATTTAATATTGACACACTCTCCCTTGCCACTTGAGCCAGCGTCCTCTGGTTTATTTCCACTTCTCCCAGTTTTCTTCTTATGAATTTAACATCATCTTCAGTCACTGTTCCAAACAGGACATTTAACGCTTTTCCCACAATTGGAACTACCGATCTCTTTTCTCTCATCTGCAGTAGCTCTATTTCCTTCAGGTAATTTTGCATGTCCCTCCATTGAGCCTCTATCATAGTGGCCTCCAATTCTAGGGAATATAATAATCTGAGATATCATTTCTCCTTGGAATAATCTTGTCTTGCCTTCTACCGTGCTGCATCCAGCTGCTTTAGCTCATTCCTTAGTTTATTTAACAGCAATTCATATTGCACCGATTCAGGCAATGACTGAATGCTACTGGTTGTCACCGAAGGTTCCAGCTCCATCACTCAGATTGCTTTGTCCAGATGGCTAAGTCGATCTATCTCTTCATCTTCTTTAGAATCCTCTTCCATCTCCATTTCTTCCAGTTAAC